TAGCACTTAAAACCTGGAAAAGTCAGATTTTCATGATATGTCACCTTTAAGACCTATTTAATCTGCATATAAAACATTAGAAATTAAATATTTGTTTAATTTTTATTGTGTGTTTAACTGTTAAAACCAAAAATATTTGTTGTTTGTCTCAATAAATAGAGTTAATTTAAAAATACAGTGGTTAAATGTAAACATTTTTTTCTATTGCTCTTTGTTTTAAAAAAGGTTATAAAAATGTCAATAATTATCGATACCGAACGATATGAAACATTATATCGTTGATACATTTTTTAGCTATATCGCCCAGCCCTAATTGTGCCTTTTCTTTACAGAATTATTTTTAATGGGAAAAAAAGAAAAAGCAAAGCCCAGCATACATGGAAACTCCAGGACAGTTGGAAAAGTATCCCATGATGCACCTCATGAAATTGGTTGAGCAGGTCAAGAGCGCACAGGGATGTTATCAAGGTAAAGGGTGGCTCCTTTGAAGAATATATACTACCTGCCAAAATGTATTTATTTTTTTATTTGGAAACAAGTCACGCTCACCACAGCTGCATTTATCTGCATTTATATTATCAACATCGATAATAATAAGAACCGTTATAATAATTGAGGGCCAAAAATAACTAAGCAGAATTTCTGAAGGTTTGTCACACTTAAGACTGGTATAATATACAGTAAAATATTACAGTTTTTACTGTATTTTTCATCAAATAAATGTAGCCTTGGTGAGCATAAGAGACTTTGTTCAAAAACATTAAAAAAATGTGTAAAATATAAGATATGTTTTTATTGTTTAACATTTGTGGTCAGTATGTAACTTCCATTTATGTGATTTCATATTTTAGATGACATTAAAATGTAGAAAAGTTTATTACAAAAAAGATAAGACTACAAAAGCCCGAGAGATATGTGGATGAAGCATCTCTACACAGGCTAATGTTTCACATGACTAGCTTGTTCAGCTATTTTCTCTCAGCCAGATTAAAGAAAACAGAATGCATGGAGGAAAAAAGCTATGAAGATTGAATTATCGATGAGCCCAAATTCAATTCTCCCCAAAAATGAGTGGATATCTGGAGAAGAGTCTAAACCTGAAAATGCAGCATGTAGAAAAATGCAGCCACTTTAGCCTGAAAGTGGGTTTTCAGATGCCTTTTTAATCAACACCTCAACCCTTAAAGCAAGAAGAAAAGGAAAAGATAGTGAAAGGGAGATAAAAAGCAATAAATAGCTCTTTCTTCTCGGCATGGATATTTGGTTTGAAGAGAAGCTGAAAGACAGACAGAATACCTACACCTAAATCAATTTCTACTACAGTTAACCAATAATAGTTCAACTGTATGTCATATTCATTTTTAATGCATTCATAGATGCATCATGCCAAAAGCACATTTCCATTATAGGGAAGGTGGATGAAAGCTTTAGGCAGCACAATTTAAGTCCCAGTCTGTTGATTGAATATGTTTGAACCACCCAATTACTATAAAATACAATTATAGTTTGCATTGATTTTAATTGGATGCACAGTGGACAGTCGAACGCCAGGAGCGGAGACTAAATCACTGCTTGTGACTAAATCTCTTTTACTTAATGCCTTGATTAAACCCATCACCCTCCGCACTTAACAAAAGCAAAACAATTTTGATACCGTCGATCAGCCTCTGGGGAGGCCAGAGAAGCCAATTAACCTTGGCTGCCATTTACTTTGGGATGAGATCTGAGGGAACTCTAACCCAGTGTGTCGTCTGTTATCTGCTACGTGATCTCATGGGGAAAAGCTGGCATAAATCTCGTAATTAATTTTTCTTGGAACTGGCAGCATTTTTTTTTTAAGTCAGCTGGACCGGTGGACTTTGGAGTGGCTGGTATGAGTTCTGGCCAGCGGTCATAAAGCTCAGGAACTTTAA